TCTCTCTCTCTCTCTCTCTCTCTCTCTCTCTCTCTCTCTCTCCCCCCCTCTCTCTCTTTCTCTCCCTCTCTCTCCCTTTGTCGTACCTCAAACAAAGCCCACCACCAAGCGGAACACGCTGTCAGCCTCCAGTCCGACTATTCCGTCTACTGCCCGAAGTCGATCCTCGCTTCAACTTGTTGCTCCGTGCCACCATCGCCCGAGTCCTCGTCGCTAGCCTTCGCTGCTTTGGCGGTTCTGCCACAGCTGCTGCTACCCCCAGAAATCTGCACCTTTGTCGGGCAGGAGCGGCACACGACCAACCAGCCTCGATGACGCCACGATCTATCCGCCAAAGCGCGTGCCAGCATTTGGCGAATGCGCTTTCCATCTGCCTTAAGTTGTTCATCGATGCTACCATCGTCGATGCTGTTGTTGTCACTATCATCGTCATCCTGTGGATCCTATGACCCCAGTGTGTCTGCCGCCGTCTGCCCCAAGCTGTCCACGAGCTTCTCATTTGCTCCCCATCGCAAAAGAAGCTCCACAGCAGGAACACTGGATTTGGCGCAAGCGAGGTGCAAGGGTGGGCAGCGGTCTACTTCCTCCGCGTTGACGTCTGCCCCTCCCTCCAGCAGCGCAAGGATCGCACCACTTGTTGAAGACCTCGAACAAGCGCTCAAGTGAACGGGTGTCGAGGAACAGTCTTTCGTCTTCGCTTCGATATCAGCCCCGGCTTCGAGCAATACACGAACAGCATTCCCTTTGTCGGAGCCTCGCCGTGAAGGCTCAGCGGCATGATGCAGAGCAGTCTTCCAGTTGTTGACGTGTTTGGCATTGGCATCGGCACCGTTTCCCAGCAGGACTCTCAATACAATGTACATCCACTTTGCCATAGAACGCAGCGATGTCCAGAGCGCTCATGCGGGTGACGGAACGAATGTCGACGTTAGCACCGGCAGCCAACAGTTCCTTCACTACCTCTACGTGGTTTTCTGCTGCTGCTGTAAAGAGCGGGGTGCGGCCAGTACAATTGCCAGAATCCTTTTCCGCCCAAGCAAAAGCTCCGACACGCAACTCGTGTGACCCCTTATGGCTGCAACATCGAGAGGAGTATCGTGCATCCATCCCGACATCTTTCCATGTGCGTTGGCTCCTTTGAGGAGGAGTCCGATAACTCGGTGATGTCCTCCGCTAGCAGCGACGTGAAGCGGCTTTGCCCTGCGCCATCAAGCAGGTTCGGGTCTGCTCCAGCGATCAACAGCTTCCCGGAGATATTGTCGGCGCCCTGCACCACAGCCACATGTAGTGCCGACTCTCGCCTTTCCCCGAAGCAGACGTTGACGTCTTCTCTCACCCCGGCCTTTAGCACGGTCCGTTCTATATCCTCGTTCTTGCCATGTGCAGCCGCGTCCAGCAGCGTTCGTCCACCGCAGTCCCGCCAGCCTGCAATACCATCGGCACCGGCATCTAGCAGCCGCATAAAGAGGTCCGTGTTACCCTCGGCCGCCGCATGCTCAAGAGGCGCTCGAAGCCTTTCTCTCCACTGATCGGAGGTGGCCTCGTCTAGTTTGAAAGTCTCAAGCTCGAACCCATCGAGTCGACTGCGGTCTTCTCCCTGGGAAGCTGACATCTCTGAAACGATTGCTCTGTCCGGAACGCAAGCGCGACTGAGACGTAACTGTAGGTGTTGTCGGTTTGCCCTTCAGTTGGAACGTGTGTTGATGTCTAAGAGCTGGACAGAGCAAGAAACTGCAAATTGATTTGTTTGCGGCGCAGCACATTTTTGTAGAGGCTACGCGATATGTTGTTGAGACCAGCGTAGCGTACCTTTTGATTCCATTTTGCGCAGCACCTCCTCAACAACTGGCCTCATGTGCTCAAATCTGGTGACCTCTGTTTGGATTGTCGCTGTCTTGCTCTGCTGTGTCGCTTTCTGTACGTTGGAAGGTGAGACTTTGCAAGGAACCGAAGCCCGGACAGAAGAAAGATAAGAGCCGGGGTTGGCCAAAGAGAAAGGTTTGAGCGAAAAGGTGAGGGTCTCAAAACCCAGTGTATTTGTTTGCGGAGTAACGCTGCTGCTGTGTAGTGACTCGCCCGGCAGTGCAACACGGTGCAACACGGGAGGCAATGAGGCACAGCACTCTTGCTTCTTGCTGTTGGTGGCGGTTGTGCTTCTTCTTGGAGATTGGTCGAAGTGAACGAGATACAACCCCCTCAAAGGTCGTGCACAAAATCTTGGCGGGCAAGCACCGCTCGCGAAATTGTTATCATGCGAGCTCGTCGTCTGTTGTCTACGCCCGTGGTAGCAGAGGAGAGGGGGATGACGTTCCCCGCGTGCGGCAGCACAGCAGCGAGAATGTTGCTTGCCCTATGAAAATTCTGCTGTGGTCAGGACCATTGTTGGTCTTCTCACCAACACCTGAGGTGCGATAATCTTTCGTAGCCACTCTCAATTGGCTTTTCACATAAGCCAGCATTCCTATCACGGGCTGGAGCGTGCTACTGTTGTACCTGGTTAGGTTGTATGCTGCTGTGCTGCTGTAACGACGATGTGCTCGCGCAGCGCTCACTTACATTCAGACTGTAGCATTGAATTAGTGTACCTGGAGGAAAGGGTAGCCCCTGGAGGTCATGCGGTTGAAGGTATCAGACCACACCTGACTCGATGCGGTGGTAGCGAGCGATACACACAGAACGGGCCAATAAAACTCAGAAACGTCAAATCGGGTCGATGTTATGGTTTTTGGAGATAGACATGTGATCGTGGTTGAACATGGTTAACTGGCACCGTCGGATGATAGGACGTGACGTCATGGTAGATTAAGTCTTTATGCCGAGGCATGTGTGCCCTTCTGTTCAGTGTGCAAGAGAGTTCCCACACAGCTCTAAGGTGATTGGTTCTGAAGGAAGGGGTCAAATACCATTACATCGAGAATCGATTCCGTCATTTTTGGGTCGAAGAAACAGGCTTACAGTCGTTAATTTTCTTCACAAATTACAAGAGCGGGAGGCGTCATATTTTTTTTTGTGTTGTAGAGATGAGAAAAACGTTCCTGCAGTAGGCTCGTGCGTTGTTATTGGCTCATTTACCACACAGCAGCAACAGTGTTGAGTTGTGGGGGCGTCATTTGATACAGTTAGTGGTGTTCATCATCATCGTGAACGCGGCCCGCACCTCAAATACACGCGGCCCGCACACTCCGCACGGAAACGCGGGTCAACATATGCACACCTAGAAAGATCCAAAATGAGGGTTGCAGGAAGGAAATGATCCGAAAAACGTTCGTTGTGCAGCGAGATGCTCAACGCTCAATCAAATGCAGTGTCGTTATGCCGGGATTTTTTTTTTTTTTTTGTCGACGTTTTCCGGCACCGCCACCACTACAGCCCACCACCGTCAACTATGAAGGCACCTCCGCGTAGCTGTAGTGCTGATAAGTCCTCCCCGCTGGAGAGACGAAGGGAAAAGAGGGTATGTGGCGTCCTGGGTCGGGAAAACAGCGTTGGATAAGTACTGTCTCAGTAATCAGGCTTTTTTCCGAGGTGGGACTTATTCCATATCGTCCCCGGGCAAGCGGTTTGGCGCACTTACACCCACCTGACGCCACCCTGTGTCTATTTAGGCTGCTGGAACAAGACCACACAATACTTCCACATCATACTAGACGCCGTATAGCAGTTTTCCGCCAGTGTTTCGCAGGTCTGTGCTTGTTACGAGGGTCACACACACGCCGAGACTTTGAGCAGATCTGAATGAACAGACGGATTTGGAGGACGCATACCAAATTGACGCCGACCCGTGCGAACTGGACCAAACGGTGGACACACAAGCTGTTGTTGGCTTTCTGTAGCACCTATGATATTGGGGGTTCTTTCCTCCTGGATGCAGATATCGGCAAACATAAAAGGTGGATCTGGGCCCTCCTCCTATTCTAATACCAAGAGGATCTTCTCCAGGGGCTCCGCGATCCAGAGACATCGAAAGGGGTGTGGCAGCCCCAGGGGGGAAGGAGAAAAAATAAAGAGAAAACGATAGCGACACAGAGTGGAGAGATGTTTGGGGCCTGACATCAATTGACGACACCGGTTCGGCTACTGCTGTCACAATGAACAATCCTTGTGTCTCGCACCTACAGCTGGCACCCTCGAAGTGGCACCTGGGGTTCAAGCTCTATGCGTTGCGATATCTACCAACAACAAAGTGCCATATCGAGGCGTGTAGTGTGGCCCTATTGTATGGTGATGGTTCGCAAGGCGTTCTGATTTTTGGCAAAACGTGTCCCCGGGCAGCCATTAAAAAAAAAACAACGGCATAACGACACTGAATGGAACACCAACAAAATTATCGCCTTGCACTCCCGCCATCTCCCGCCGCTCGCTCTTAACAACAAGAAGCGGTGACCGACCGAGAGAGCAAACCAAGCGCGCATCGCTCCCCTCGCCTCCTCCGCCGATAGCTAACAGCAGCAGTATAGGTCACACGCTGCTCCCGCCGTCTTGCCCTCACTGTGGTGTGTCTCCCTCCGCCTTTATCTGTGTCTGGCTCTGTGTGCGTGTTGTCTTTGCGTGCTGCGTGCCTAACCGTCCCAAACAAAGCAGCAGTCTAGACTCTGATTGCCCGAGACCCAAATCCAAACCAAGCGTGTTTCTCGCTTCTCGCTTTCTCCGCCGATAGCGAACAGGAGTAACAGGACACACGCTGCTCCCGCCGTCTCGCCCTTTCGCTGTGTGGTGTGTGTGGGTCTCCCTCCCCCATTTTCCACATGTGATGTATGTCTGGCTCCGGGTGGTGTCCGTTATGGCCTACGTGCGTCTGGTCAAACAAGCCTCCTCCTCGGTCTGGCTTGGACGCTTGAATGCGACATGTATATTCTGCACAGATGCTTCTCGACACACCGACCACGGATTGAAAAGGTAGCAGTTGGGACAGCTCGGGCAAAATATTACATGTTGTGCGCAAGTCTTAGGTTGCAATTTGGTGGCTAGATGGTGAAATGGGCTCCAGTCTGCTGGCATATTTAGGCACCTTAGGTAGACAGACAGACAGAAGACAGACTGGCAGGCATGGCCCGTTTTTGGACCCGCTAGGTACCAAATTGTTCTTTATTCTGCCGGCATACAAATGCACATGATCCCTTTAAATCAACTTTTTTTGCAAAACAACAATCGCAGCCCTATACGGGCCACTCTTCTCGCAAAAAAAACTGTTGCAAGAGAGTGAGGTGGAATAGCCTTTTTCTGCAACAAAGTACCTGAAGTAGGCTCGTGCGTTGCTACCATTGGCTCGTTTATACCACACAGCAGTGCTGAGTTTGGGGGTGCCAGTGTGATTTACAGAGAGAGGGGGGTGTTCATCATCATGAGCTAGAGAGAGGAGTGTTGTGTGTTATCATGAGCTATGTACACGCGCATAGCAGTGCCAAAAAAAAACAAAAAAACTCTCTGTTCATCTTGCTGGTTCGAGCTTCATCTACAGGTAACTTCAGAGCGTGTAATTTGTGACGAGACTAGCACACGGAAGGCACAGGTGGCCCCCCTGGCCCGCGCACGCAAGTATAGAGGTTTACAGCAGTACATGCATCATTGATGGTGGTGTCTAGCAGCGTGTTGGTGTGCTCTTGTCGTCTCTCTCGCTGCTGACAAAAAAAAGCTGCCGCTCGCAAAACGCACAACACAACGCTTCATCTCTCCTCTCGCTTCCTCCGCCAATAGCTAACAGCAGTATAGTAAAGGGCACACCCTCCCGCCTTGCTCTCCCGGTGGTGTGTGTGTGTCTCCCGCCCCCCTTGTCCATGTTCCCTGTCTCTGTGTCGTGTGTGTCTTGCAACAGCAGCAGCAGCTAAGCTGCTGAGCACACCGACCGGCGGAACCAAAAAATCTCGCCTGCCTGGGTTTTTCGGCGGGGACGCGTGAATCCTCGGTATATTTATCAGCACAGATGCCGTGCTATCTCGACGCACCGAGCACGGATTGAAAAGGTAGCAGTTGAGATACTCAGGCAAAATGCTACTTTTTGTGCACAAGTTTTAGGTTGCAGTTCGGTGCCTAGATGGTGAAATGGTCTCCAATCTCATGTGTATTTACAATAGGCGCACAGACACCGGACATAGACACTATCGATGGAAAATCCCTCCCCCTAGAGATTTTTTTTTTCACGGACGTACATGTCGAAAAGGAAGGGGGTAATTGGAAAGAGAGCGCCAAGGACCCGGAGGTGTGGTACAACAAGGTCGAGGACGGGGCGGCATAGTTCATGAGGAAATGGCACAGGCAGGAGGCGGAAGCGTCCGCGAAGCGCCAGCGCGCGAGGGAAGCAGAAGCAGAAAGTACGGCCATCTCAGGACCGAAGACAAAGAGAGCCGGGGAAGCAGCGGTGGGGGGGAAGAAACGGCGACCGGGCACTGCTGTCGAAGCGAGTAGGGCGGCCGAGGCAGCCCTTGTGGCGAACTATCTACCCGGCTGATGTTGTTGCGCCCTGTTTCCCTCCCTGCTGTATGCTATACTCCTTTATGTATGTCCTTTGTATTGCCTTCGGCCTCTGTGCTGTGTTTCTTTTTTTCATGACCTCCCTGCCTACTCTGCTGTGCTGGGTACCTTGATCTCGCTTTGCTGTTGCCTTTGTTTTCGTAC